CCAACTCCCATGATCGGGAACACAGATGGATAGTGGAAGCAAAAGCAGTAGAAAAGGCAGAGGCAATAGGCGACAGTAGACAACTTTTCTGCCTTATCAAGGAAACCGGTGTAAGGAACCCGAATATAAATGAGACTATTGCGGGAAAAGATGGTCTTATTTTTCATTCTCAACCCAGGAGATTGGACCGATGGGCAGAACACTAAGTATTAGTTCAACTGGCCTTCAATCACACTTCGGTTGCCCAAGATCTCCAGTCATCCTAAATGGCAAACCGATTTTAGTCAGCCAAATCTTTATGAAGTTCAGAAAGCGATAGGAAATCTGAAGCGACGGAGAGCTGTGGGTCCTGATAGATTGACCCCTGAGATTGGTTAATAAATAAAGATTGCTTTGTGAATTAGATCAGTTTAATCACCTTTGATTTAGAATTTCATCAATGTTAAATTTAAACGTATTTATAAAGTAAAATATGTAGCAATTACTGTACGATATTATCTTCATACTGTTGTGATGATATCTGTTCGATTATTAAATGTCATGAACTAAGCTGAATATTTTAATTATCCTTTCGGATACTACCAAAAATAGATCATTTTGAACATATATGTATTTGCTAATTAAATTTAGGGGTTGGCGCCCAAAGAATGGAGACGTTTGTGTCCTCGTAGTTGGATGGTAGAGATCAGTATAGTTGGCAGTCCTGCTGATGACCATTTACAAGAGGAAATCACAGATTTTGTCGAACTTCTTCATCCAATTATTGTACCAACCAAACTTGATAATAATTTATTCACTCGTAAATGTTGATATTTTTGCTTTTCTCTGCCCTATCTGTTATCAGATTTTGTATCAGTTGTTCATATCTTTTTTTTAAAAGTAGACTTATTTGAAAATTTTATTGTAAATTAACTGTATTTAGGTATGCAAAAATACATTTTAAACATAAATTGATGTATACAAAAAAGCACTTTCATATAAGTTGAATTGCACCAAAAGACTTACAATAATAAATCTATTTTTAAAAAATATAAATTTTTTGTATAAAATCCCGTTCATCTCATTCTAGTTCGTACCGATGACCATAAAAAGTTATAGTTCGTAATTTGTCTTAACACTCTTAGAGACACGTACATCCGGTGTTATATTACATAGTTGTTTGTCAGTCTTTAACTATTTTAATGCATTACTACAGCTGGTGTTGGAATCTATCACTGCACACCAACACATTTGACTAACTTATTTTTAAGCCTTTACCATGAGTGAATATATGTCAGAACGAAGTGATTTGAGATGTTATCAAACAAAACCAAAGTTAATGAGGAACGTGATTTAGTTTTATCTCCCTTCGTAGATCTGAGCAGTATATTGTTCTGTGCGAGCTGTTGTATAATGGTACATATGGTCAACAAGGACATTAATTGGCTGCGTTGGATTTGAAGTAGGGTTCACCACTTTAGTGCCCCGCCATTTGGCTCCAGTTTTTACGAACGATTGGATATGCTAGGAAATAAATCTTCCCCTCAATTTCTGTATGTCATACTTAAGCGAATTCCGTTTGTGAAACTGTGGTAATAAGAAGCCAAATACGGTTTAGAGGACGAATTTATTTCTTAAATTCGTTCATGCACACAAACATGAGAACACGAAGCGTAAAAGCAAAGTGAAGTGGAGAGGCGAGGAATCCAACTCAATGCGATGAAGCATGAGTAAGTGTTTATGGTCAGGCAAAAATAAGCTATACATGTGATAGGCGAAGTTGATATGCACATGCATACTCGAATAAAAACAAAGAAAATATAAGCGAATAATTAGCAAGGTCAAAAGACGTGCCTAAAGGCTCTGGACAATATACTATAGACAAAATACCTATTCCAGATTTTGATAAGTCACTACTAGGTATCAATAAGGACGGTTAAGTTATTTACAGAAATGAAAGCAAAGAGGTGGCGTTGCTCAGAAATAATATTTCCCTTATCCAGGGTTAAAAAAAACAAGTGGTGATACTTTGAATGTTCAACTCGCGTATCATATAATGTTGTTACAAATTGAGGAGAGGAAATCAAAATGAATAAAAATCTGGTCTTGTAGTAATAAATAATGCACGAAAGAGATCAGGGTTGCCGGATAATAAAAAGTAACGGATTACGGTGTTCATTAGTTCTGTGCAGCATAAAAAATTCCTATTTGCATCCAGTTGGCTTAAAATTAAACAGAAAATCTAACAAAAACTTGACAACTGTTATTATGGTCCATTAACATGCTTAATTACATTTATGGGATTGTAGCTTTATTCGTTGAACACACCTAACATCGAAGCAGCATCCACGAACCTTGTAATGAATATTGCCGCACCTACAATTGAGGAGATCAGTATGGCCATCAGACAAATCAAGAGTGGCAAGGCAGCAGGACCAAACAACATTCCAGCATAGGCAATGAAAGCAGTAGTGATGATCTGTTAATCGCACCATCAAATGTAGATGAACATTATCAACATCTTACGCTCTTATTCCAACGCCTTTCGGATAACGGAATAGTTGCTTACCCGGACAAGTGTGAACTGGGAAAGGCAGAAATAAGGTTTATGGGTCACATCATTAAGCATGAGAGTATTCTACCTTGTGAAGGCAAAGTACTTACAATCATGGAGTACACTGTACCGTCCTCACGCAACGAACTGAAAGCTTTTCTCGAGGCCAGTATCAAATATACTTCTTCCTCTAGAATCTGTTTCTTTCTTGATTCTTTGAGTCCGGGAGTAACATTTGTTCTCCCGCAAAGAAGTATATCGTACGAAACGCTATAATGCCTTCATATCCAGTGTTGTCCTTGCCAATCTTGGCATTTAGATAGCCCGTCAGAATCGTCATATACTTTGATGAGCATCTCTCGACGATTGACTGCAGCCTCTCATAAAATCAATCTTTAATGCCTTCATTGTAGTCATTGGTAAGTGCATAGCATTGGATGACATGCATTGTAATTCCCTGTTTCTTTGTTTTGAAGGGTGCTTTGATGATCCTGGTACCATGACATTCCCACACCCTATCAGTGCCTTTTGTGCTTGTTTGGATAGCATACGTTCGATTGCTTGTTTGCGCGAGGCATTTTCTTCTTCATGGCTGGAGTATAACAGCAGCTCTCTTGAAGCTAGTCTTAGCTGTCCAACCCGAGCCCAATGCATCTCACTGATTCCAAGTACTTCCAGGTTGTATATTTTCATTTCTGCAGCGATTTGGAACAATTTTCCGTTCTCCCACATTGTTCGAGCATTTCACTTACCTAAAACAATGGTTGCCATGGTTGGCAGAGAGATATCGGTCTCGTGACCTCCGAAGGAATCTGGCTTTCATTATGAGGCGTCATAATTTTTCTGAATGAAGGCTTTCTAACTCCCAGGGCAGAGTTTAAATGTTTTAAATTGATTTTTCTAGGTAGCGTTTTGTTAGGTAGTTAGATTTTGTGGGGTGGGGTCGCCAAACCTATGTCCAACCCTCCTCCTTTATCTGGGCTTGGGACCAGGAGTAGTTCCGACATTTCACGAAATACATTAATTTTGTAACTACTATCAAAAAAGGTACTTAATAGCTCATAATTTCATCGTCACTTGAACATTTGCCACTGCTTTATTTCGTTTAAGATGTAATGAGCTTGTTTTGAAACTTACATGGTTTTATCGACTTATTGATCTGACCTTAAGTTTCAGTCAACACTTTTCACTGAATTACCATCTTACTTATTAGTTATGTTATAAGTTGACTTTTGTTCCAGCCAGGAAATGATACAACGCTTGTAAACTTAAACAATATCAGAAACTATTTATTAAATTTAACCGTGTTATTTGTGATATACTACTTGTGAGTGATAAGCTGGGTAATGCTAGAATGAAAAATATTGCGAAACAGACCATTGATGTATTGATTTCAAATGATTAACTTTAGCCTTAGATATTTTTTGTCAAGTTGACATAAGAATGAGGATTAAAGTGGAAGTATGTACGTACTTGCAAAGTTCTACGTCTCTGTTGATGATGATGATGATGATCATTGTAATCTACGAATTACTGTATCTTAGTGTCAACATTTTGTACAGCTTAAAATTCTTCCACTAACGTCATAGAAATACAAACACGGCTCTTATATAGAACCAACAAAATGTTCCAGAAGGTACATCACTGAGTTGGTGGCTGAAAGATATGGTTCCAATCGTTGCAGGTTAAGCCCACCCTTGATAATATTGTTGAACCTTTCAATGGATGTAGCTGAAACTCAAATTAACATGTACTTACTAATTTACATTTACTGATAAAACAAGACAGCTTTGAGGGAAAGGGATTTAACAAGTAAGCCGTTCAAGGATCGGTTATCTATATGTATACACTGACATATTAATGGGGTTTACATCGTGTGGAGAGCATATTAATTAAATTGTTGGTTTTAATTATAAAGATCGTCTGTGTAGTTTGGATATATTTAGGACTACCAAGATCTCGATGTCCTTTAGTCCTCTGGCCACTTTTCATGATACTCGTGCTGTCGTTATGGTAGTGCGTGACGAATTCCAAGACATTTCGTTTGAACTTGAACCCCAATTTTACTCAATAAACAGTTGCCACATCAACTTTAACATGGTTTGTTATATGAGTTATTTTAGTAGATTTTAGAGATCTATTCCTGTGGGATTTTAAATTTTTGTTGCAACCCAGTTGCTAGACATAAACAATCGTTCTTTCTGCTCTTTGTTCTTAAATATTCTGTGTGTAAGTTTGTTCCCTCAATGTTAAGCTATGTTTTGCGTTGACACTAGCTGTTCAAACCTAAGAATGTAGAAAGGAAATCGAGCTAATAGCTCAGCAAGTCAAGTGATTAGAGTCGTTCATAATATGTTATTTAACTTTAGTTCTTAGATCTCTCTTGCCATGATATGTTGGTCTGAAGTGTTGTTATTTTTACACTTCCAGATACTTGGATTTATTTCCGCAGATCTGACAATAACTAATGGCATCCGGGAGGCTTGTAAGACAAAAAAACAAATCAACAAGTTTCCAAACTCTTTTCGATCAAATTCTGTGCCGATCATATAAGGTAAACCAATTAATGCTGTATATAAATGAGTATAGTTTTACAAAAGTTCTGTAACGTCAGACGAAAATATACTCCAACTGCTAGATGTTTTAGATAGTTGTCGTAATAAGTGGAAAAGTACTTTCATAAAACTCTATTCTGTTCTCTGTGCTCAAAAGTCAGAAGTTAAACGACTGACAAATCTACAGGTAAATGTGTGACTATTTCCTATACTGTTCAGACCCACACGCAAGCTATGTTCGAGGCTGAAGTTCAAAAACGACGTCGTATAGAGCGATCAAGGAAATCCCTCGAACACAAAATCAATATGATAAGACAAGTGCTACTTGTTAATGATGTCGATAGCGCCAGACGTCATCTTGATGCGATTGATAATTCAACGAATGAAATCGACCAGTCTTGTAATGAGTGGTCAGTAGGTTCTCCAGCTGTGAACACTAATACGCCTATTGATTCAAGTTCCGCAGTCAAAAATGACCGTAATAGGTAATAGTATTTCATATCTACTCATACTTTTCCTCTTATATGTCACCTATTGTCGGTATCATTTTCCCGCCTAGGTTTCATTGTTGAACTTCACTCAACTGACGGTTCATTTTTCAGCTGAGCAGTGAAAATACATGGGGATCTAGTTATTTAAGTTATGATTAAAGATCGTCTTCTGGTTTTCACTCATTTGTAGAAGATCTGTTCGATTAAACACATTTCTTAACTGTAGTTGATCTGGTGATGTCCGTAGAACAAAAACCGTACTGGGGAGTGCATTGAAATGTGATTTCAGTAAAATGCTTCCTTCATATGATTATTTTGAGCTCAGTTTTCTCTTAGTTCCTGTAGATCCACAACCAGTCTTGTATTAAGATTTGACTTAAGTGAACATAATAATTTCCTTATTTTCCCTAAACAAATCTCATTAAGTTGGTGCTAAACGGTACTTTTCGTCTACTTGGAATGCCCAATTTTCAATTCATAGCCTAGTTGTTTGTCAATTAAATCCCACAACTCTTTGTTCTTCAGTAGGATCTATTTTATTTTTATTTAAAACATGTATTGGTACAGGGAGGCACCAAAATATCTATACACCACACAAAAATGTTGTGAAGAGATACAGAAAGAACAATGAGTACTAAAAAATGAATAGAAATTAGTGTATGAAAACGAAATAATGGTAAAAATAGTGGAACAAACAGTTCTATTAGAGGAAATACAACCAGAAAGAAATTCATTCAAAGAAGTTCCTCTTATGTGAAGAAAATAAAGCTACGACTGGATCTCCATCGCCTTTTATTCTGAGGCATGTCTGATGTCTCGAGTCACTGAGTTTTACTAATTGTTAGTAGTTGTTAACCCTCGTCTAAGCAACCAAGCTGTATTATTTATTGCTGTATCATATCCATCAGTCAACTGAATATAAGAACTTTTGTAAGCTATTTTTCTTCCCTGACGTTCTGCCAAAATTTATAGTTCATACCATAAAGTTCCTTATTGTTACAACAAAGGTTGATGTCTGTATTGAACATACTGTACAAGCTTGTCGATGTAGTAAATTAGTTTTTCTGCTTATCAGATTTTTTAGCCTCATACGTTTTAATTTATTTACGTTCAGGTTCTGACTTTTTATTACCTATAACTTTTGCGTTCAATTTAATTTTAAAGCGGTCGTCCATCAAAGAAATTAGGTAGAGCTAGTTCGGTCGGTCATACTGGGGCTGTCAGACGTTCTGCAACAAAACAAGAATTACGATGTGCTTCTGTGCAAAAGTTTATCACACGCCGTTCAGGAGAAAATTTATCCTCGAAATCTCCTCAGTGTAGTAGTGCACAGGTAAGAAGAGTGTAGATGACAATCTTCCTAATCTTAAGTTTCATGTTTAAGTGTAAGCTTGTCTGTATGTAAATCTGATCATATGAGCAGTCAGTTACCAAATAACGAATACCTGATTGTTTTACCGGGATTTAATGTTCACAGTTTAAGTGTAACTGGTGTTGAAAACTTAAAATGTTCGATTCCTAATAACGTGTATCTTAATTTTTTATATTTAGAGATTGGGGACCATAAATCGTTTAAATCGCCCTCACAATTTTGTTTCGCGAACGGTACTAAGAATGGAGGTGTGTAGCGCTTGTGGTCGGCGCATTACTTTTGGTAAAGCCTCTTACAAATGCTTGGTTTGTCGTCTTGTAGTACATCCGACATGCCGACAACAGGTAATAGCCTAACTTTTCATATTTCCTTTGGTAATAAACTCATGTAAATTGTCTCGTCTAATTTAAAGTTTCCCCTGTTCATAAAACATCAGTGTTTCAGCAAACAGCATAAACTAAACTCACTCGAACACTTTTGATATATCCAGGACATATGACAAACTGTCACCAGAATTAACTCCATCAACCAGGGCTGCCGTATTCTCTCCACTTTTATTTGAGATCACCATGAGCATTCTGTTAGATAACGTTATTTTTGTGTGACTTTCCAGGAGACTCACTTACCGTCAACAAGATATAAAAATGACACGGTTCTGTTTCATGAAAATATGAAATATAATGTCTTCCGAAAACCCTAAGTAACAATGCCAAGATGTTTGAGTTGCGTTCTTTCCACTTAAACTAAAAACGTCACTTAAGAGACTTGTGTACGTTAATGACAAAGCTAGTGATACGAAGCGATGTGTTTCATGTACATTAAAACTATCAAGTGAACACTATTGAGATTATGTGTAGGATACTAGACAAAGATGACAGGTTAGATAGATGTGATCAAGATAGAGTCTGAAACGGATTTGCCTTGTCTCAAGTTGCCATATCATATTAGCACGACTAGAAAAAAATAACAGGAGATCAATTTTTGCTTCAATTCTCTAAAGGCTAGTTTATTTAGTCGTGATATATATATTTATATATATTGCAGTCCATTTGTTGTCTATTTATAACATTTAGTTAACTGTTAAATATTAAATGTATAACAGCTTTTTGATTGCAACTTCTTTTTACTTAAAAAGTTCGTCTTCAAATGTTCGCTGTGCACACGGACTCAATTTAATTCTTTACAACTATTTTCTGAAACCTTATAGCTTATTCAAACTTGTGTACCACCAAGTGTACCACGTGCACATTTCACTCCTCAAACAAGTGGTCGCAATCTACATACACCCCATAATACTTCAGCGTACATTCCTATTTCACAGCTGACCCAACCTCATAATCATGGTTATGTGGATCCAGTACTTTCTAGTCCAACATTCGCCAATCGAATGAGATCACGTAATTTGAGCTTATCTTTATTATGTCCATCTGACCAGTTTCCACGGATACCTGCTCTGGTAATACATTGCGTGAATGAGGTTATGGCTCGTGGTATGAAGACTGTTGGACTTTATCGCGTCTCCGGTTCCGAAAAGCAAGTTCGAGGTGTGTTTAATTCTGAATTTTTCCGGCTGAAGAATAACAAAATATAGTTTATTGTAATGTTCATACTGACTTATCAGTGCATAACTCAGGGCAGATAAACAGCCTTTCATTTGTTGGAATATGGTTTGTCTAAATCCCTTATATTGGTCAGGATTATCTTTTTTAAAATATCAGCAATTATTGTATTGTGTTGTCATTTGGTTCACATACGCAAGCTCAATCACTTACTTGAATGATAAAACCGAGCTTGAGAAAGAAGCAAAAAATATACGTGCATTCATTCATCTTTGTCCTTTATGAAATAAAGTCATTCTAAACCAATCGCATTTGTCTTGTCCCTTGGAAAATAAAGCCAAATCTTGTCATGCTCATCGTTTAATCTATCTGACTGACCAAGCGTATCAAGTAGAATATCGCTGTTAGTTAATCGAAGAGTTTAGTTGTAAATTTTGTTTATTTCAACTGCAAGTAATGACTAATATACAATTTATTTAATAATCACAGTTTCCGTGGCTATGCTCCCAATCAGAAATTTTCGTTTGTTTCTTTTATAACAAACGAAAATAATATCATTTTAATAAGTAGCTTCTAAATATTTCAAGTTGGCTTTATGTAGTAAATTTATCTTACAATGTTAGCGAACCTTTTATTGTAGCGATTATTTTAACTCAACATTCATGTGGATAAGTAGAATTGGTTGAACGTTCAGATAAATCGATCTGTAAAATATTATCTCCTAGAATTAAAAAGAAAAGCTGGTTACGAGATATCCTTTTAGTTTAATATGCAAATTTATACATGATTGGTTCGTAGCTCACACTAATCAAGGTTTCATTGTGTAAACACGTTTGTATTCCTAGTAACATATGAAGTTACACATTTGATTTCATTTGTGCAGTTTATTTAGAATTTCAGATGTGGTTAACAAACTTCTGAACTTTCTACCTGTGGTCTAACTACACTAATTCCTTTCTACTTATTACTTAAATGTTTCATATTTCTTGCTTTATTAGATTTATATGAGAAATTTCTACGCAGTCGAAGTACACCAAGCTTGGCATTAATAGAAGATATACATGTAGTCTGTGGATGTTTAAAGTTGTTTTTGAGAAGTTTAGAAGAACCTTTGGTAACTTATCTTCAAAGACCAAATTTAATCGGTGCTAGTGAACAGTATTCAAATAATCCAACAAAAGCACATGATTGTGTTTTAAATGTCTTAAAAAACCTACCAACACCTAATCGACACACTCTATCATTCATCATACTTCATTTAAAGGTAAAATTCACTACTGTTTCTTTTACAGCTTTCCAGTTAATTTTCTAAAAGTTTACTATCATTAAAAAAAACGCCTTTAATCATTTTCGCTATTATTTCTGTAGGTTGTGTCCAAAACGTCACTATGTCAAATGGGTGAGGAGAATTTGGCAAAAGTTTTCGGTCCGACATTAGTTGGTTATTCTTGCCCAGAGCCTCAAGTGATGCAAGCTATCTCTGAGACAAAACCGCAACAAGATGTAGGTTTATTCAATATAGAAATTTAATCTTTTCTGACCTTAGTTCATCTGGATTAATGATATCATATCATGCAGAATTTCAACTGAAGTGATAGTTAAATAATGTCGCTTCTATATTTAACTAATTCCTATTACATAACGTTAATAAATGAGAAGTTTCATTTGTGTGGTAAAATTTTTTATTTCTGTAGTATTTTGAAGACTACTAACAATTGATAATTTTGTATTGAAATATTTTACATTGAATATGTTGTTAGGATGATGATACTGTTAGGATATTCACCAAATATCCTAAGAATACTATTTTTAGAAGTGCAGTCTTATTGGTCATCTGGACGGTCAATGTCATTCAATTGTCCTTTTCTATTGGTCTTCCGAAATTGTCAGTGTCACAGACGTTGATGCTTTTTCTTATTCGACCTTAGTGTATAAATACGCGCTATCTGGAAGACAATAATTCCGTTTCCCTTGCCTACTTCTTCTTCTGTTTTCGACCCAATAAACATCTTCCTTCCACGGTGTTACGTTCTGATTTCTAGGAGATTTGGAAAAGCCTTTTGGGTCGTATTGTGATATTTGAATTGGACGCCGTTAGGACTGAAGAGTTACGTAGCCGCGTTTACAACAAATTTGGCGACGGGTTGGTGACTAATAATGGATCCAGCTACATTAGAAAAATTGTTTGCTCAGCAGCTGAAGCTGATTGAGATGCTTACTCAGACGCACATCTCTTCTCATGTCTCATCTACACCAACAATTCCTCAGTCAGTTGATGGTATGACCAGTAGTATTTCTGAGTTTCTGTATGATCCTGACGCCAATATTACATTTGATACTTGGTTCATGCGTTATGAAGATCTTTTCAAAGTTGATTTTGCTGACAAAGATGATTCTTGGAAGGTGCGTCTTCACCTTCGAAAACTTGGTCCGCCAGAACTGGACAAGTATCGCAACTTCATCCTACCGCAGAACCCGCGTGACCGATCATTCGATGCTACGGTTCAGTCCCTCAGCAAACTTTTTGGGGATCAGCATTCTCTTTTCAATACACGTTATCGTTTTTTAAAACTAGTCGTGAATGAGTCCGATGACTTCTTGACCCATGTTGGTATTGCCAACCGCGAGTGTGAACGGTTCAAACACAGATCCTTTACTGATGACCAATTCAAATCCCTCATATTCATATGCAGTCTACAATCACCCAAATTCTCCGACATCAGAACTCGACTGCTTAACCGCCTCGAACAAGACCCAACACTGACACTCGATGCTATCGCTGATGAGTACCAACGCATCACCAACTTACAGTGTGACACCACTTTGGTACAATCTGGGAGCCAAGGTGGTTACGAAGTTCACGTTGTTCAGCAGCAGAACAAATCTTCTAGATCGAAAACCTTTGGTCGTTCGAATGCCAGTTCTGATTCTAATCACTCAAAATCAGCGCATAAGAAGCCTCCCTCACCATGTTGGCACTGTGGAGACTGGCATTACGTGAAATTTTGTCCATTCAAGCAGCATGTGTGCAATCGCTGTCAGAAAATTGATCATAAAAGCGGTTTTTGCCAATCAACCCGATTCACTGTCCGGCGAAATTCACAGTCGCAGCGCCGTTATCCCAGAAAGCCGTTTGCTGCATCCAGGAGTTTAGCAGCAGCCTTTCACACCGATGCTTCTACTCGACGCAAATTTCTGACCCTCTCGATCAATGATCAGCTGGTTCGATTGCAGTTGGATACTGCATCAGATATCACTATTCTGTCAGAAGAGACTTGGCGAACCTTGGGTCAACCACGCATCAAACCATCATCGCAGATAGTTGTCAGTGCCTGTGGGGGTCACCTTCGTCTTCGTGGTAAACTTGATTGCTGTGTTTCGTTCAGAGATACAACCTTCAATGGAACATGCTATATCAACAAGTCTCCTCACAACCTTCTGGGATTAGATTTGTTCGAAAAACTTGGTCTCGCTGATCCTGCCATCAATACTGTCTGCAATCAAGTAAAAACTCCTGCCGTGACACAACAGCATGCTGCAGATTTTCAAAAACGACTCACTGAACCGCTTCAACCTGGTATCGGACTGCAGCCAGTTGCCATGCCTGAAGAAAATGTGATCTCAGATAACTTGTGTGACGTCACCATGCATGTCAAGTCCCAAGATAAAGCAGACTGGGGTGATGGAGAAAAACATGATACAATAAACAGACAAAGATATTCACGTGACTCCATTCTTTCTTGTAAATCTTCAAGCGTCGAAGTGAAGCTAGTAAATGATAAGGATATCATGGAAAGCCTTTCAAATACCAAAAGACCTCGTGCTCAACTAAGGCCAGAGGGAGATAAAGAGAACGGTAAAATTACGAAGCGCCTCCCACTCTGTTTGCTGTTGGATACTTATCAAGTTCCGCCAATACCTCCAACAGTCACTATCGAGTCATCTACTCAAACAGAACATCCTACAGCTCCAGGGATTTTATCTCCGAGGTGGTCGAAACGCAAGCGAAGAAAGTCAAGTAATTTCAAGTAAACCCTCGGCTCTGTCGCTATTTTTTTTCTTCCAGAGGGAGGTGTTAGGATATTCACCAAATATCCTAAGAATACTATTTTTAGAAGTGCAATCTTATTGGTCGATTTCTATTGGCCGAAATTATGATCGTTCTTACCGTCAGGGTCAAATACTTCAATGTTACCTCTTATTGGTCATCTGGACGGTCAATGTCATTCAATTGTCCTTTTCTATTGGTCTTCCGAAATTGTCAGTGTCACAGACGTTGATGCTTTTTCTTATTCGACCTTAGTGTATAAATACGCGCTATCTGGAAGACAATAATTCCGTTTCCCTTGCCTACTTCTTCTTCTGTTTTCGACCCAATAAACATCTTCCTTCCACGGTGTTACGTTCTGATTTCTAGGAGATTTGGAAAAGCCTTTTGGGTCGTATTGTGATATTTGAATTGGACGCCGTTAGGACTGAAGAGTTACGTAGCCGCGTTTACAACAGATACATGGCGTTATGTTGATCAAAAGAGCAATAATTTTTCATTGTTAAATTATTGTTTCATTAAATTTTAAGTAAAAAAACAGTCTAAATATAACATTATTACTAACTTCTATGATTTATAGAGAATCCAGTGAATAGTGATACAGAATTTTCTTGACATACTCATTTTAGAGTACATACTCCGAATAGTTTTTTAGTTTATTATTTCTGAACTTTATATTAGCATAAGATAAGTTTTTTATTTAAACACAAAGAATTAAATTTGCGAGTGGTCTGGGATATTGCCCAGACGCTCAAGCGGAAGTAGGTGGTTTTCTTAGAAGGCCGTACCCCGAGCCTAGAAGTCTAATCCATAAGGCAGTGGAACAGCGTAGGGAGATCCAGTCGTATGGTTACCAGTAACCAACAGTAGGCTCATACGTCGTTCGTCCCCTCAGAACTTTTGAAGTCCATGTGCACAATTGATTTGGATTCCGGGTTTTCCAACTCCCCTAGGTAGATCCATACCCACCAGCCCGATTTAAGCCCTGGTCGAATGTTCGCTATTTTTCCTCAAGTTCGTAAACAACACCTGTGCCACGAGAGAAGGCAGTGAGTCGGGCTTCTTTGACAGTGGCTAAATATGCATGACCATATGAGAGAATTTCAAAAGGGACCGCGAACTCTTCTCACTCTCGATCGTACCAGGAAATTCAGGGGCCTAAGATTAGCATAGTTGTTAAACATCGTAGGTATTCTATTTTTTAAACTTTTGACTATCACAAAAATATCCGTTCATATAGACGAAAACAATGATTGTGAATATTTAGTTAAATACTGTTCAACTTATAAAGGAGTGTAATCAGTGTATATCGTAGATTTTCGCTCTTCCAAAACTCAAGTCTGTATTTATTTGGAATACTGGAAAATACCTTATGTTATCTATTATTTGCTTTTATTCCTAATGTATACATTTTCTTTGTAGGTTGTACGACTACTTTTCAGTATTCCTGACGATGTCTACTCATCATTTCTATCGGATTGGGATAATACTTTTGAGGATAATGGTGAAATACGTGCAACTTACTTCGCATCTTTAGCTGCAGATATGAATTCATCGGAATTAACACCGAATTCAAATAATAATCGATATGGTGACGTGGGAGGATCTACTCCGAAAGGATTTTTACCTAACTTGTTATCATCATTTCGAGATATATCTAGTTAGAGTATAACAATAATAACATTAAACACTTCTAGTGATTATTTAATATTATACTTTCTTTTGACTTCTACTGTTGATAGTTTTGGATAACATTTTATGAGTTTAATTAAATATTTTGTGTGTCCAGTATTTTCACATTTTTTAACAATCAGTAAAGTCAGCAAAGAACGAGAAAGAAGTGAGTAATTAGAGCAGTAAATTCTTCTGCACAACTGTAATCGTTCTAAGTCAATGTTGAGTTAATTCACGAACTATCAATTCCTAAAAAATATGTATAATTCCAAGCATAAAAGCCTCTATAGGTGCCGTAATATACTACAGAAACAATAGTGAGCGGCGGACAGTGTAATTTCCTTATATTGTTCAGAATTGCTTTGCATCTGAGTTAAAGTTAATAGTTTTACATTTAGAGGTAGTGATTGTGGACAAATTCAACGAGACATATCAACCTCTTCGAAGAAACGAAGTAATTTACTTTAAAATATGGTATACTATTTTACATCAAAATAAATACCCAATTATCCGTTTAAAATATACTGTTTATGTTTGCAATAAGAGCGACTGGAACAGGAGCAGAAATGAAAAGAAGCACTAGAATATATTTAGCATCTCTTTCCGAGTTGGACATTTTGTAGAATTGATCTTTAACGTCGTCATTGTAATGTCCTGTTTCTTTGTTTTGAAGGATGCTTTAATGATCCTGTGTCCATGAGATTCCCATCCTATCAGTGCCTTTTGCGATTGTTTGGACAACATCAGTGCAACTCTTTGTGTATGTGAAGCATTTTCCTTTTCATGACCAGAGTATAACAGCAGTTCCCCTGAAGCTAGTCTCAGTTGTCCTACTTGTGTCCAATGCGTTTCACTGATGCCGAGCACCTCGAGGTTGTATCTTTTCATTTATGCCGCTAATTGAAATAGTCTTTCAGTCTCCCACAATGTACGAACGTTCCATGTACCTAAAAAAATGGTTGCTCTGGTTGTCAGAAGAGGCATCGGGCCCGTGACTTCGGAGGGAACTCGGCTTTCATCACGTGACGTCATAATTCTTCTTCCAACTCCCAGGGCAGAGTTAAAATGGTTTGGATTATTTTTTCTGGTTAGTGTTTTTTTGGCAAGTTAGATTTCGACGGAATGGGGTCGCCAACCCCATGTCCAACCCTCCTCCTTTATCCGGACTTGGGACCGGCAGTAGCCCCTAAGGTTCTACTGGCGGAGTTAGTTCATCAGTAGTATTTTTGTAAATAAACTATTCCTCCCAACAAGAAATAACAAGGTTTAGTAACATGTTCCCAGTACATTTGTTCGGATGTCATCATACGTTACGTGTATTTAGACTAACCATACTATTAACAAAGCATGCAAGTTTTTTACTAACGATTTTCCCACAAGATATCCCGTACACAAACTTTGTGAGATTCTACTTACCTAAATAGAACTGAAAATTGTTACAACCTTGGATCTCCAGTCGGATGTATTTCTCGGTTTTCAACTATACTCATAAGATTGTAACTTAGCTGTATTTTGAACAATCGACCTACGTATTATATTTAGTACTGAGTCAACAGCGTGTCGATCAGAAAGGAGGAATTTTCAACCCTTAAGTGGAAGATGACATTTTAGACCTGCATTGGCAATGCTTATTTCGTGATATACCGCTGTGGTGCGACTACTATATTGTTTAGAACTTGATTGTATTATTAAACAATCAGTATATTTTGACTCATAAAGGAAATGAAAAGAGTGCACCATATAGCATACATGCCTCTTTTTCATTCTCTTCATATATGTGTAGTGAATGAGAACACAGGTGGAGGCAACCGAGTTGTATTTAACGAAAATTACAGAGTTACTCAGTAAAATCGGAAAACCATATCGTAAATCGTTCATTTGCAAAGGATCAGTTCATCCTATGGAACTGGACTGTTCCTGTTGCCAAACATCAATCCATTGTCACTCTTCATGCGTTTCATACAAATTCCATTGTTTTCTGACTCTTCCTTTCTTGATCTTCCCCCCATATTATGCTACCAGACTTTACGTTGACACTCACGCTATATACTACTTATAAGTAGTTCGCACCACACTCGTCCCCCCGTTTTATAAGCTGTCGTCGCAGTCTTTCTGATCTCCGTACAGCCGTCTTCTTCATCAGTGTTTGTGGCTCGCCCTCTTGGCGCACTTGGAACCACCTTTGGAGTTCACTGGCATTCGCGCGTTTCTGTTTGTTTCCTTTCTGGATCGTATACACTGCGCCGCGCCTCTCGGTGACGACGTACGGTCCCTCCCACTTCGGGACCAGCCTACCTGACCCTGGCCCTCTTCCTGTGGTATATTTCCGTTCTCTACACTTCACCTGATCTCCCACTTCAAGCAATCTCCAGTTCTTTCTCTCCTGTTCTGACTTTTCCATGTCTGATGTTTGTTTCTCTCTCACATTCCTGATTGCTTTTACCTCTCTTAGGAAATCTGCTCCTAATATCGGTCTCGATAAGCTTGTGGTTACCACGAACGGAAAATTTATCTCAGCTCCACTCATTTTTACAATACTGTTAGATACCCCCAACACCTCTAGCATATGCTCTCCTATGGTGTGGACAGCTAATGTACATGGTTTAATTGTCTTACATTGCTCTTTGCTTATTAACGATATAGCCGCCCCTGTATCAATCAAACACACTAACTCCCGTTCATTTATGTACACTCTGGCATAAATTGCCCCTCTATCTACTAGTGCAAGAACCTCCCAATTCCTAGGGTGGAAAGAAAACACGTTATAATGTTTAAAATATCGTCGTCGTCGTCTTCTTGGACAGTTTATCTTCCAATGTCCTGCCTCTCCACAAGCGTAACATTTATCGTTCCTTTTATGATTTACTCGTAATGCTGCTATCTCACGCTCTAACTCCTCAATCTTCTTCTCGAAAGTATTTATCTCCTGCTTTTCGCACCCGACCGGAGCTACTGTTCGTGTCATCAGCTGACGAGTCACCTTCGCCAGTTCACCGATGTCCATAGGTTGTGCTGCATTTACTAATCTCAGCTGCTGGGACACAGCGGCAGGCACACTCTCAATAAATTGCGACGCCAACAATTGTGCCTCCGACTCCTCATCGATATTCGGCAACGCACGGCGCAGCAACCTTTTGAGTTCCACAGCGAGCACCAGCGGGTCACCATCAGCCGACAGCCTCGCCAACCGGAACTTCCGCAACGCCTCCTCCCTGTCCACCGGGCTGTCGAACTCGGTCATCAGCCGCTCAACGACCGCCTCCCATGGCGTCTTCCCGCCAGCACCGTCCAAGCCGTCATATACGGCCTTCGCCCTTCCTCTCAGCAGCGTCCCCAGCACCACCGGCTTCGCCTTCGGTTCCTTCACCCCACCAGCTCCGCCACGGCCTCAAACTCCTTCAGGAAGCCCCGCACATCCCCGTCTTCAAACTCCTCCGGCCATGGAATTTTCATCCTTTGCGTAGGCAGCGAAACCAAATGTAGTGAATAAGAACACAGGTGGAGGCAACCGAATTGTATTTAACGAAAATTACAGAGTTACTCAGTAAAATCGGAAAACCATATCGTAAATCGTTCATTTGCAAAGGATCAGTTCATCCTATGGAACTGGACTGTTCCTGTTGCCAAACATCAATCCATTGTCACTCTTCATGCGTTTCATACAAATTCCATTGTTTTCTGACTCTTCCTTTCTTGATCTTCCCCCCATATTATGCTACCAGACTTTACGTTGACACTCACGCTATATACTACTTATAAGTAGTTCGCACCACAGCACCACATATGTACAAGTACTACTGTCGAACTAATAATACTGAGGGTAAAATTGTTGACCTAAGCAAATATAATCCAACGACTCAGAGCCTTCCTATGTTCGCCATAAATTAAATGAACGGCCTTAACATAATTTACGAATAAAGCTTACTTACGCCTGTTACCTCCAATGGAGCATGGGCGCCGACCAGTTTTCTCCAACCAACTCTGTCCTGCGCCTCTCTTTCCAGTTCTGTCCAATTTTTGTTCATTCTTTTCATATATTTCTCTATTTCTCTGCGTAATGTGTTCCTTGGTCTTCCTCTTTTCCTTTTGCCTTGAGGGTTGCAAGTGAGGGCTTGTCTTGTGACGCAGTTCGGTGCTTTTCGCAGTGTGTGTCCTATCCATTTCCACCGCCTCTTCCTGATTTCCTCCTTCACTGGAATCTGGTTTGTTCTCTCCCAGAGTTCGTTGTTGCTGATGGTGTCTGGCCAACGAATACGAAGTATTTTGCGTAGACAGCTGTTAATAAACTTGTATCTTCTGGATGATGGCTTTCGTAGTTCTCCAGGTTTCCGCTCCATACAGTAGAACTGTCTTGACATTTGTATTGAAAATCCTGATTTTGGTGTTGATTGATATTTGTTTGGAGATCCAATTATTTTTGAATTGTGGAAATGCAGCCCTTGCTTTGCCAATCCGCGCCCTCACATCTGCATCGGATCCACCTTGGTTTTCGATGATGCTGCCCAGATATCCTATTCAACATGTAGACTAGAGCGGGGTTTCAGGAGACCGGAAATGACGGTTAGTGAACTCGCATTGTTTGCATTAACTGTGTAGTGTTATAAAGCAATGTGGTCTCGCCGGTGTAGGTATAGCAGTGAGTCGTAGGGTAGAACTAGCGCTCCTAGATTGGATCCCTACAGATAGTTGTTTGTGCGCCGTCCGACTGAACGGTACAGTAAGAATTCGTAAAGATAGGGACACTCGTCGTTGCCTCTTCGTCGTCTCAATCACTGATTATCTCAATCTATGAGAAAGGACAAAAGTCTTCTTGTGACAATCACAGGGGAATAAGTCTAACTAATATAGTATCTGAAATATTGGCCTCAATAATACTTCGACGCTTAACTAGAGCTCGTGTAGAGTAGAGTAGAGTGGTCGAGTGAGAGCTTATGGCGAACTGTCAACGGAATTCTTCCCTTCAAACGGTGACCGTCAGGAATGTCCACTCT